CCAGTGTCAGGGTGTTATTATCAGGAATACTGGTTTTGGTGGAGTGACATTTCTTGGCCAATAATATATATCACCAAGCAGGCCCATCCTTCCCCAACAATACTGCAAGAAAGGCTATGTCCAGGGGGAGCCTTGTTTCTTCCCAGACTTGGGGTGCCTAGCCATTGGATGAGACACAGTCCAAGGGTTGAAATTTATGTTACTCTGCAGACTGTAGACTCTCAACCAGGATGACATCAGTGCATTTTGAAGAACCCCAGAGAAATAGAGTGCAGTTCAAACTTTCCCCTCAAAACTGACAAAATATGACATTAGCAAACATAGTGGGGCTCCGGGAAGCCCTGGAAAAAATGGACTATGAAAAGTCTGCTCGAATATATTCTCAAGCCATGGAGTGAATTGTGTATGTTTATGCATGAATGAATGGTCAATTTAGAGCTTTTCCTTACAAACTCTTGTCAAAACCTTCCAGACAACCTGCATACAAACACTTTAACTTTACCAGCAAAATAGCCTAGGTTGTTCTGTCAGCAAACAGGAGAGGTGCTTTAACTGAGGCTTTAGTGGAAGTAGTAATGAGGTTCTTTAGAGATTGAAACATTAATGAAAATAACTTCAGACTAGACTTGGCAGAAGAAATGGTGCACAATCTTGGAATTATCCTTGGAGACAACTTAATGTTTTCATTTGCCAGTGGGAAAAGTGAAGCTGAGAGGATGAATGTTTTGCCCAAGATCTAACAGTGTAGTTCCCATCAGAGCCAGGTCTACATTTATGATTGCTGATTCACACAACTACTCTTTTATGCTTAGTGGTTGGTGTAGTGAACCAACAAAAAATGACAGTTGACTATAAGAGTTTAGGGTGGACAAGGGACTGAAGTAGACATAATTAATAAAAAGGAGGTGCATAGATGTTTTTGAGCTTCTAAGAAATTATATTTATTAACTTCCTTTCCTGCCTTCTGATTGCTTCTGCATTTCCCTTTTATCAGACCAGGTTTTTTAAAACTTTAGTTAGGATGAATTTTTAAATGGCATATTTGTGATACTTGCACACAGCTTAAAAACATATTTCATCTTTCTCATCACTCTTTCATTAGATGAAAGTTTTGCCACTGCTAGATTGCAGCTGTTCACGTTTTCTCAGTAACTTATAGGGATAGTCATAATGCTCACTTGCTGTGAGATGGTGTAAATGGAGGGAAAAAAGTACATAGAATTTGAGTAAAAGAGAACATGAAGTACTGTTATGAGAAGAGAATAGGTTCAGGCTTTTTGGTATATTTGAAAAAAAAATACACATGTTTAGAATCATTGCTCCAGTTTTGGATACTCAGATTAGGATCATCTTTGCCCAAAATGTTTTCATGTTATTCTATGAGGGGGGAATCAAAAAATCCCATAATTTATTTATAAAAAATATGTATTGATTCTTACATGTTTAAACTTCAGTCATCTTCAAAGAACTCTCCATTTGATACAATACACCTATCAAGACTTTTTTTCCACTTCTCAGAACAGTTTTTGAACTAGTCAATTTTGATGCCTTTTAGTGCTTCTGCCATATTTTCTTTCACTTCTTCCACATCAACAAAATATTTCCCTCTGAGGACATTTTTTTTTTCATCTGAGGAAACAAAAAAAGTCACTCAACATGAGATCAGGTGAATAGGGAGGGTGGAGCATGAGGCTCATGCTATTTTTGATCTAAAATTGCTGAACTCAAAAAGTGGTGTGGGCAGGTGTGGGCAGGTGTGATCATAAATCACCCATCAAGAAATGCGGCAAACTCATTGAAAGAGTCTTCAAAAAAAATTCACTGAAGCTGAATGTAGCCTTTCACAACAATGCCAGCTGGTACACTGATAAAGATGGCTTCCCAGAACACTTACATAGTAGGGGAAACCAGTATTATGAGGGGTCTGCCCTCCAGAAGAGAATTCCACTTTTTTCCAGAGGTAACAAGAGGTTTTATTTTTATAACAGCTTTATAAGAGTATAATTGACAGACAATAATCTGTACATATTTAATGTACACAATTTGATAAATGTTTACATATATACAAGTAAAATCATTATCAAAATTTAAATAATTAATGTATTCATCATCTCCCAAAAAGCTTTTCTTTTGATCCTTTGTAATCTTTCCTGCCTGTCTTTCACTCTCCCTCTAAAAAGGGTGTCCAACCTTTTGGCATCTCTGGACCACACCGGAAGAAGAAGAGCTGCTTTGGGCTACACATTAAATACACTGTGATATGTAATCACAAAAGATCTCATAATGTTTTAAGTAAATTTATGATTTTGTGTTGGGCTGAATTCATAGCCCTCCGAAGCAGCATGTGGCCCGTGGGCCGCAGGTTGGACACCGCTGGTTACATTTTTGTCTTTGCACCTTTGTCTAAAATTGGTTGTCTATTTTTTGAACTCTCTATTCTGTCACATTGGGTGATTTTTCTATCTTTTCACAAATATCTCACCACTTTTATTTCTGTAACCTTGTAATAACTTTCAAAATAAGCTATAGTTAGCCTTGCAACTTTATCCCTTTTCAAAGTTGTTTCAGCTATTCTAGGTCTTTCCTTTGCATTCCACATGAATTTTAGAATGAGTTTGACATTTTTAAAAAACATTTTATGTATTTATTTTTAGAGAGGGAAGAGAGAGAGAGAGAGAGAGAGAGAGAAAGAGAGAGAGAGAGAGAGATCAATGTGTGGTTGCTGGGGGTTATGGCCTGCAACCCAGGCATGTACCCTGACTGGGAATCGAACCTGTGATGTCTGGTTCGCAGCCAGTGCTCAATCCACTGAGCTACACCAGCCAGGGTGAGTTTGACATTTTATACCAAAAAGTTCTGCTAGAATTTTGATTGAGTTGAATTGATTTACATATCAATTTAGGTAGAACTATGTTTTTAGCAATGTTGAGTCTTCTGGCCATGAACACAATATATCTCTTCATTTACTTATATCTTTATTTTTTATCAGAAAAGTTTATTAGCTTTCAGTCTTTCACACATTTTATCATTTTTTTATTTAAATAGACATAATTTTATTTAAATACATTTACTTAAAATTATCTTCACTTCTTCACATGAAAGTTATTATCACTTGCCATAACTGGAAAGTAACTTTGATAATCAAATAAGAACAAAAAGAATTAGTGTTAAATTCCAGGAAAATACTGTTACTTGTTGAGTCTCTTTTAAATTTCCTTTTTTGTTAAAAGCAAGTCTTTAAAAATTCTAAAAGAATAGTTAAACCAAGCTGCACATTTTTCTTTTTGTAACCAGGTCTTAAGAGAAATAGGGAACTGTTTTCTCACTAGGTAATAAATACATTGCATTTTAATGACACATATAGCACTAAAACCTCATTTCTCATACTTTGGATGTGAGTGCCACAGTTAGGGAATAACTACATTTTAGGCAGGAGTTGCCCACGCAAGGATACAGAAGTGTAAGAAAGTTTGGGTATTGTAGAATTTGCTTAGGTTAGGAATTTCTAGAGTGGTATTCTAAACCTTGCTGGTATATAACATTCCCTTCAGAGTTCAAAAACCTTAGACTACAAGAATCAGCATATTTGTATTGGAGTGTTTGTATCTTTTAAAAGTTCCCTAGATAGTTCCAATGTGTAGGAAGGGTAGAAAACCTCAATGATAGGATATCGCAGTGTGGATATGGGAAGATGGTAAAAGTAGTGATCATGTAAAGCAGGAAGGCAGGAGAAAGCCCAGATTGACTAGCAGTAGGCAATCCTATCGGCATCCATCTTCCCCAGACATTGGATGCCAATAGGTGGAATGGTAAAATATGTCAGTATTATTTTCCATCTAGAGCTAGAATATGAATTGTCTGTCAAGGCAGTTATCCTGAAGAATGAAAAAGCCCCGACTCTCTTTCCATTAAGAACAAATACTCATGGATTTTCTGCCTCAACTGCTCTATTGGTTTAAAGGAACATGATCTTTTCTAAAATTAAAGGCATTAAGTGCATATTTCAAGAATGCATTTTATGGTAGCATATTTGAAGAATGGTCTGAACGACCTTCCCCCATGGTTTACAACAGATATGTGAAGTATTTTTGAAACAGCTTTAACAAAACTGTTAATAAATAATTCCAGATAAATTAATAAAGTCTTTGGGAGGTAGCATTTCAGAATTTAATAATACATAGAATCCAAATGTGCATGTGTAAATAAACATATATACTAGAAGAGTCTGAATCTGAATTAATTTCCTTATTTTTTTCTCCATGGTTTTTACACAGCCCTAAGATCCATTTAAAATAGAGCATCTTTCAATTGGGTAACATTTGCAGTCTGTCAAGCTGTGCTTTTTCATTCACACTGACCATGCGACCATCTTGAAGATTTCATCTGGGAGAAGGAAAGAAAAGGACAACTCCAAATCCAAATCTTCAAATTTGCTTAGAAGCGCAGAACTAAAAGGAGAAAGTAAAATTGCTTAATTTAAGAAGGGCAGTAAGATGTATGGGAGAGGCCTTGAAGATTATTCAACAAAACTAAACTGCGAGGAGGAATTCGTGAGGAAACAAGTGGAGAAAAAGGCTTCTTCGGGAAAAAGAGATTGGCAGCCCATCAGCCCAGTTTCTCGGGTCTCCCGTCGCCCCTCCTCCCAGACGGCCCCCTTCCCCGCCCCTGGCGCTCCGGCTCCGGGGCTGCAGAGCTAGCCCTGGAGACCGGGTGGGCGGGGTAGCGTTTCTAGGCTTCCATTCCCTCGGGAGCACCCGGGCGTTAACTTAGCGCCCCGGGACTCTGAGCAAGCAGCTCACGGAGTTTCTGCACCTCTCAGAGTCTCCAGCTGCGGCAGGTGGTGGCCCCCAACTCTCTGAAGACATTGTGTCAAATTCTGTCCGCCTGTGGGTGGGAAGCAGCGGGACCACGGGCAGTCCCACTGGACCCCGAGCCCCGGCAGGGTTAGCTGCCTATAGCACACCTTCCGGTGGTTACCGGTCGCCAGACACTTCTGCGGCATGGAGCAGTCGCGGTGCGGTGGCAGAGACCGCGGCGGCAGCGCCCGACCCCGCTTGGCCCTGGGACTGGTGGCCCCGGCCCCTCCACCCTCCTCACCGGCGTTACCAGTACCCCCGGGGATACCGGTTCCTCCAACTTTCCTGCGGCCTCCCAACCTCTTTCTACGGGTAGCCGCGGCTGCCACCACCCCCACCGCGGGAAGCGGAGGCTGCCCGCCGTCTCCCGCGCTGGAGAGAGGGGTGGGCACGGTAGGCTGCGCTTACCCGCGCACTCCCAAGTGCGCCCGTTGCCGCAACCACGGCGTGGTGTCGGCGCTCAAGGGCCACAAGCGCTTCTGCCACTGGCGCGACTGTGCTTGTGCCAAGTGCACTCTGATCGCGGAGCGCCAGCGCGTCATGGCCGCCCAGGTGGCGCTGCGCAGGCAGCAGGCCCAGGAGGAGAACGAGGCCCGGGGGCTGCAAAGGTTCTTGTATCCCGGACCCTCGGGGCCCGGGGTTCGGACCTCTGGAGGCAGCAGCAGAACCGAGAATTCCCAGGCGGCCAGCGACCCTGCGGGGGTGACTGCGCTGGGACCTGATGCCCGGAGACACGCTAGTAGTCTGGCGACCCCTGCTTTCGAGGTTTTCCAGCTAGATAATACGGAGGAAAAGCAAGGTGAGTTGGTCTTTCATTTCCTCTTTGAAAAAGGAAAAAAGATTGTTCTGGAGAAAAACTCACTGAAACAAGCGGTTTCAAAACCGCCTGGAGGCGGGTGATGCAAGTTGTTAGAAGAAGCCCTTGTTTAAGTTGTGGGAAACGGCTCTGCAAGTATGACGTTAATGCGAGTGGGTCCTGCAATAGGACGTTAATGAGAGTGGTTGAAACCCATCACATTCACTTTGGAAAAGCTTTCTGTTCCTTCAGGTGATAGGATACGATAATGAAAAAGTGGAAAAATTGAAGGGTGAGTAATCAGATGAGCAGCTCATGCTAGGAATGGAATTTGCACCCAAGTTTCTATGACTGTGTGAGAAAACTTCCAGTGGGCATTGAGTGAAAATCTTAGCGAGAGGTGCTGCGTTTTGAGCTTGCCCTGTACCATAAAACCAGAGTTACCCTTTTTGTCTGGGGAACTCATTGATAGTTGAGAGTACAGTTCTTTACCTTTGGGGCAAATTTTTGGAGCCAACTAGAAGTAGGGAAGAGACTGAGATCTGCCCAAACCCCTTTTCATCCAATATGCTTCAAATTTTTAAGCATTCCACCCCCAATCCCCATCGTCAGCCTCCTAAAGTGTAACATGCTCTGATATGAAGTTTCAACTCTTCCCATAGGGAAAAAAAATGTTAAGTTTTCCAGATTTGTGAAAACACTGATGAGAATTTCAAAGTCCAATATTAGGGATTTCATTTCCAATGAGTTTGAATTGTTTTCTCCTACTTATTAACCACAAGTCACTTTCATATACTGTTATTTGTGGTTGATAAATATATATTTGACTAGGGTTATGCCAAATAAACTTTTCCAGCTAATGAAAATCCCACTGTATTTTAGTGAATGCCACAGTCCTCCACAGTACCCAGTAGCAGTGAAAATGTTATTTCAGTATTTTTGTATAAATCCAAGAGAGATTGTGTCCCATGAGATTATCTGATAAAGACACATTAGGTTATTAATTAGAAAACGTCCCTAGATTGTGAAAATTGCAGATCTTAGATCACAGGATGTACCTTTGAAAAGAGCCTATCTCTATTTAAATAAGACATACATAATTTTTTACCAATGCCAATTTTTGTCCATGTTTTAGTTTATTTCAGTAGACAAAAAAGACTGTAAAAAATTCTCATTAAAATTCAAAGAGGGCTGAAAAACGAAGTTATTAAACAAAACTACTATGAAAGAGAAGTAAAAGTTAAAATTCTGTAAACTAAATTGACAGTGAGATTTGGCTGACAACCCTGATTTATATATTTTTCTTGGAGGGATACCAACATGTCCTGTTTCATAGGGTCAGTTAATTGATTTTATTCTTTGCCTCAGTTGACTCCCATCCCCCACTTTAAAAGACTAGTTTCATGGCTTTTCTGAACTAACTGCCTCCTCTCACACTATATCTGTAGGGAGGAATTCTATTTAAATTACTCATTCATGAGACAAAGACTAACAGTAATTCAGAGGTGAATCAGATTTTCCTACATAAAAGAACCTTACAGTCAAAATGAGGAAAAGTTTATGTATCCAAAAACTGTAAGATGTAATATACAATGATAAAAGTGAAGAAGTAAAATGAGCTGTAAGAGTTGAGAGAACAGAGAGATGATATAAATGAAATCACAGTATTTTGAAGACACCTTATGTTCTAGGTAGTTTTATGCAATTGGTATTTCACTGCATTATATTGTACTCCAGAGTACAATAAAATAACAAAATATACACAGGTTGCTTTTGAGATGAAATTTTGATATTTCCCATTTTCTGGGGTCATATTTAGTGAACCATCCTTGTAAAAAAGGGAATGGCAGTCTATCCTGTGTCAATCTATCTCGACTTGGCAGATTTCATTAGAAGAGTTTTATTGTTTTATTTGAAACTGGAAATGAGAGAGAGTCTTTGTCATTTTGTGGGAGCAACATCTTTTGTTACATGTTTGTTCTAATGACATTTTAATGATCAAAGTGTTAAATTGTATACTTACTTTAAATTTAAAATAAACTGTAGCTATTTCTTTAGAATTTAAGTCCTCTCCTTGAAAAAACATAGGAGTTTTGCAAATTGTGGTTGCAAATCACTGTTTTAGGGAATATTTGTTTTGTTGCACTCATAAACTTTGTAGAAGAAAGTTGGACTGAAATATTCTGAGTACACTTGACAATTTACTCTTTCTAAATGGAAACAGAAAATAAATATGTCTATAAGATAAACCAAAATAAAAGTTATTTATCGATTATATGCATAATTATTTTCCTAAAGATATTCTTGTTTTATTAATATTCATATGGTCAACATGTTAAGGTAGAAAAATCAAGTTGTTCTGTAAAATATTTTTCCTTAATATTAAAAAAAGTTGCAATTTGAAGCTAATGCCTAATGTTATTTTTACCACACACTTTGAAGATCCAACAGATTGCAATAGTGCAATTTTCTTTTAGATACAATTTAACTGTAACCTCTTTTCTTGATATTTTCCTAGAAATTGAAAAAGAAAGTCCATGTTTCACAGAGGATTATAAGAAATACCAACTCTGTATCATCTCTCACATAAAATGAAATATGTAGGTAGTATAATCTGAGATTAATAGAGCAGAAGTCATTATTGATTTAGATTTAAAATGAAGTAAACAATTTTATTATTTTTCCACATTATTCAGATAACTTAATTGGAATCTGAAATGTGAGCATTAAAAAACAGTGGTAAAAATGTAGAATTAGTTATTAAACAGAATATTTATTTTCATATTGATTATTCTTCTTTTGATTTCTTATCCAAACATAATTATTTTATTTAGTTCTCTTAGCATGGTGTCACTATGAAAAAAAGACTCACTTAGGTAACAAAAAAAACTTGGGTAACATTTAGGGAAACCTCAAATTGCTAAGATGGGGCAAAATACATGAAATATTGGTGCTACATTAACAGTTTAGGGCTAACCATAGATTCTCTTTACTGATTCCTAAATAACTACTGCATTTATATGTTATATAATTTTGTGATCTTGAAATGGCATGATAAATAGCATTTCTCACTATTATAACACTGGCCTTTCCAAATGATCTTTTAAAATTCTTATTCATTAAAATTTATTACAGCAAAAAATATAAATATACGAGGGAATGAATTATTTTATTTAGCACTGTTTTTGAGTGGGCAACACTATGTTCTGGAAAGTTTTCCCTTTATTTGATTCCTTTTTTCTCTTTCCCCAGAACAAAAAGAAAGTAGATGTGACTCGTGCCAGAGTGGACAAAATGAACCAGTCTTCAAATCTCATCAGCTAACCCTGGAGTCACCTCCAGAGTCTATTGGTGTAGTTGGAAAACAAAATGTTATGTCATCTGTTTCAGAAAACTTAGACAAGGATAATAGCATTCTGTATCCTCACCGTGGGGAGCAATCAGGAGGTGAAGAGAGTCCCAGGTCTCTGTCATCCTCTGACCTGGAATCAGGAAATGAAAGTGAGTGGGCCAAAAACCTCACTGCTGCCAGATCCAGACTTCCCACAGTGTCCACAAGACCAAGAGATCCTCTTGATATCCTTACCAAGATTTTCCCAAGTTACAGGCCCAGCCGGCTAGAAGGCATTCTACAGTTCTGCAAAGGGGATGTGGTTCAAGCTATTGAACAGGTCCTAAATGGGAAGGAACACCAACCAGACACCAGGAACCTAGCAAGCTCAGCAGAATTGGGAAATACAGCTTTCCAGAGGGCTTCAAATTTTAGTTTAGCTGGAATAGGTTTTGGAACTCTAGGAAATAAATCAGCTTTTGCTCCTCTTCAAACCACTTCTGCCTCTTATGGAGGCGATTCAAGCCTCTACAGCTTAAGTCCTAGACTAGGTATCAGTCCATTGCGGCTGGCATATTCCTCTCCAGGAAGAGGGCTATCTGGTTTCATGTCTCCCTACCTAACTCCTGGGTTGGTACCAGCATTGCCTTTTCACACAACTTTGGATTATGCCTTTTCGGGGATGATTAGGGATTCTTCCTACCTTCCTAGTAAAGACCCTGTAACTGGTAGCAGACTGTATTCCAGGCTGAATCAAGACAATCTGTAGTGCATTTGCCTATTCTCCCTTTCCGGAGTCAATCTAGAAGGAGGCATGCAACACAAACCCCACACCCACGCCTCCATCTATTACCAGGCTCACTATGTGTGTGAGCGGATTGCCCAGCCTTAAGGATGCTGTTTTTTTTTGAACAAGCAATCTAATAAACTTGAGATCTAAAGATTTCTTTAGCATTTATTAAGTGAAAAACAACAGCAACAAACAAAAAGAAGCATTTAAACATTACATGTGCCTTGAATAAAGCCATTTCAAGAAATACTTTTATTTCATATTAGTAAATTTTCTCCCTAAAATATACATTGTAAAATTTCTATTTTAAAACTATACTTGCTTTTATTTTATTGAAAAGTGGAATTTATAGTTGTAAAACACATGTGTCAGTATAAAACGATCCAGCATTATATAAAAATTACCAAAAGGAAGAATTGAAAAATCGAGGTACTTATAAATAATTATTGTTTTAAACTACTTTCATTTTGTTCCTTGTACATTGGAAAGAAAAAATTTATTCAGAGTATTTAAAATATTTTATTCATATATAAATTATTAGTAATAAGTAAAACTTTTGAAAAATTTAAATTTCTTTTTTTAATGTCTTATATTTTATCATATCTGTCATTTGTGATAAGAGAGCCATTAACAAAACATTTTTCTTTTTAAGTGAACATTGTAAATTACACAAAGGTCAATGGAGCAAAAATGAGACTCTGCCATCTCCTGGCCACTATCATTAATTGCAACTCAGTTCTGAGAGAGTATAGGCATTAAAAGCCAATGGTTTCCTAATTTTCATAATTCATATAAGCTATTTTTTGAAATAGTAATTTTAGATAATGCTACACAGAAATTTTGATATTATGAAGTGAATGTCTACTGTAGATGAGAATTTTAATCTCTTTGTGCTCTATGCCCGTGTTTGGGAAATATTCTTTTTTATATTTGTCACAAGAATATGGCAGTCATTCTCAAAGGTAAAAATAACATTATTCAGAAAATTTAAATATCTGTTCAAATAAATATTGGCTGATTCTAAATAGAAGATTCTTAATGCATTGAGGAGAGATTATAATATTTCCAAAGGAGAAACATTGTCATTAAATGTTAGAGTTTTCTTGAGATTTTAAAATTACTTTTGTCCTTTATTTGGAGCATTTAAAAGCTGTTTATTTCAGCCAGTGGAAAGTTCCTGAGAAAACTGCTTACAAAACAACTTTATGAAGGTTTTTTTTACAAATCATTTTTAAACGACAGTAGTTTTATTGTTATTGTAGGAATAAATAGAAACCCAGCTGTGGTGTATGACAGTTGATGAATTAGAGATGGTTTAAACAGTGTGAGCATTCATGACTCACTAGAGATTTCTTAAATCTTGTATGTGTCTGTGTGTACATACACACAATGGGGGGACCCAGAAAAAAGCCAGAACTTTTTATAAAAAATTGTGTATTTGTTCTTACATGTTTAAACTTCAGTCACCTTCAAAGTACTCTCCAGTTGTTGCAGTACACCCACTGGGACATTTTTTCCACTGCTCAAGACAGTTTTGAACTTGTCAATTTTGATACCTTTTAGTGTTTCTGCCATTTTTTTTGTTTCTCCTCTTCCAAATAGGTAAAATGCTTCCCTTTGAGAACTTTTTTTCATCTGGGGAAACCAAAAAAAGTCACTTGGGGTGAGATTGGGTGAATAGGGAGGGTGTGCATGGGGGTCATACTGTTTTTGGTCAAAAACTGCTGAACACTCAGTGCAATGTGGGCAGGTGTGCTTGTAAATCACCCATCATAAAATGGGCAAATGTGTTGTCTTAAAAAAATTCACTGAAGCTTAATGCAGCCTCTCACAACAATGCCAGCTAGTACACTGATACAGATGGGTTTCTAGAACACTCACCTAAAGGGGGAAGCCTGTACTACAAAGGGCCTGCCTCCAGAAGATAATTCTGTGTTGAGGGGAGTGCCCCCTCATATTATTTTCTCAAGTCCTGCCAGTTTTGTCATCATGAAAGCTTTTTCATAAAGCCAAATGAGAATATATTTCTAAAGTATATATTTTCCAGCAAATATGTTAAATGACTGAAAAGTATTTAGTGCTGACTTGATATGTAAATATGTTCAATAGAGGATGCAGTAATTTAAAAGGCATGAATTTGAGAAAGCAGATCCTGTAAAAATTTCATTCAATCAGTATTCATTATTTATAAAGATGTTAAGCTGGAACTATGGTACAATGCTTGACAAGTAGTTGATGTTTAATTACTACACACTGAGTGAATGAAACCATTTTGGGTAATATAACTAACTCTATGAGACTCTGATAAAACCAAAAAATTCTATGAAAGTGGCCTTCAAACACACTGTTTTGCATGTAATTTCTTGGGGTTCTTGAATCTCCTAAATGCCTTTCAGGTTAGATTCTTAACCTGAATGTTATTCTTAAGTTGTTTCAATTGCATTAATTCATTTATTGAATGCTGTGTTTTTTTGAAAAGTGCTAGGTCCTATAGAAGATACCAAATATAAAATATTGCATTCTCAAGGAAGTTACATTTTACAGTAGAGATCTGGATTAAAATATAACAATGCTAGATTTGCTAAATTCTTTGTGTGCTTTATATAATGATGTGAATGTATCCACTTGAGAGACAATTACTTTTGGACTGGAAGAACTTCTAATTTGGGCAGTATTCAAATTTAAAAAATAACTTTATAATCTTAAAACTTAATTTATGTGATGCTTTACATGTTTCATACCCTTCGCAATAATTTTATAACAAATAATTCTATAGAATAGGTCAGTTTGTCAACCATTAAATTGTATGTGAGGGAATAGTGGCTCAGCAGTAGTGTCATTCATCCCCAGTGTTACAATAATAGTGTCAACAATTAGGAATGTAAGTTACTTCACCGATTTCAGTTAGACTACAAGGTTTGAAGAAAGATTTGTTTATCCACCCACAGCTTTGTACAGTATCCAGTACGTAATAGGAGCTCAAGTAATAGTTTTCCGCTGACTGAATTAAATAAAAGATAACAACAAAGTATTAGCTTAGGGATTTATTTATTTAACAACTATTTATTAAGCATTTACTTCGTGCCAGGTACTGTATTAAATATAGGACACAAAGAGGTGACTGAGATACAAGACCTTGTTTCAAGTTGCTCACAGTCTATATTACCATGTACATGGTCTGTCCAGAAGGTATCCAGCTATGTAATATGAAAAATAGAGACATTTATGAAGAAGATACAAGATACAAGAAACATTGTACACAGGACAATGATACTTCAGTCCTCTTTGAAGTAGGCACCTTGGGACCTCACACAGTTCTCCCAATTGCCATCTGCTGCATCTGTAGTATTTTCCTAAATCTCATCATCAGTCTGAAATCTCTTTCCTTTCAAAGGTGATTTTAGTGTTGGAAAAAGCCAGAAGTTGCAGGGCCCAAATCTGGGCTGTAGGGGGCTGAGTCACCTGGGTGATTTGATGTTTCGCCAAAACTCTACATGAGACATGAGACATGAGACATGATGCATGGGTAGATGCATTATCATGATGGAGCTGCCAATCACCAGTTGGCCATAGCGATGGCCTTCTGATTCATTCAAATAGTTTCTGTGGAGGAATATTCAAGCTCAATGCAAAATTTGATGCAGATTTGTTGTTCTACTTGCTCACTCATTTTGAATGTGACTCACAGTACACATATCACTCAATGGCATCTACCGCCCCCACTGACTAGTACAGTGAAGTTGTCATTGTTCAGGCATGCCCATTCCAGGCCACTTTCCTTGGCTACCAGGTTATGTAGATGACGAGCAAACCATTCTTGTTATATTAACAATGACTGGACTTATTTTCAGACAGGCCTCAGTATACAAAAACAACTAACCATTGTTGTTACTGTTTGACGTTGTTATTCTAGTGAGTTCTTTGTATCTTGATGTTTATGCCAATGGATGCTACTTGAGGCCTGAACTCCTAAGTCTCTAATTAGGGGTGAGAGGAAGAGAGAATGTCTGTTTCCATGTAGTGTGTTTAGGGAAGGAAGTTCATTCTGTTTGGTAAACAACTTTCAGGTCTACCATGAATGGCATGGACCAAGAGGAGGCTTATGTTCACTTTAATGAAGTCTTGTGTGGAAGTCACCCAAGCCTCCTCATGGCTGGATCAGGATTATTGCCCAATCTCAGTCTCAGGAATGGTCTTTGAAATCCATCTGATTCAGTGCAGAAGCCTCCTGATCTAAGCTCTCTTCTAGCTCTTCTGTGAAAACAGATTAGTGTCAAATGTTTTCCCCTGCAACCTCTGAGACAAAAGGATGCTAAGGATTTTAAGACTGCCCCTCCTAGAAATTTCTAACTATGAACTTGGAACTAAGAATACTATTTGTGAGGTATCCTATCCATTCAACTCTTTATTTTTTAAATATATTTTTAGCTGCGGGATGCGGGTAACTAAAAAGTAATAAAAATTTAAAAAGTGCAGTTTTAGACATTCTTTAATCTTTGAAATTAAAAAGCCCTCAGAATATAAGATAAGCTTAAGAAAAACACCTTATTATATACCTCTGTAGATAGAAGATGCACAAAATGAGACACAGTGTGTCATCAGCTTCAGAATGGCACATTTGCCTTTAGGGCAGCCTGATTCTAAAGTGTCAATGCTCATCCTTTATGTCAAGGGTAATGGGAAAAATTCCCTGCTCAGATCCAATCCTTCTATCCCCTCCCTCACATCTCCAAATAATTCTTTTATAATGCAAATTTAGGTCCTTAGTTATTTAACATCTTCCCTTTATAATTGGAGCTGTTTTGGTGTAATACTTCAGAGCAGCTCTGCCAAACTTTAAAGTAGCTGTTTTATTTGTTTTGCCTGCTAAGTATTATTCAAATGAGAGAAATTCATTACCATTTCCCCTGTCTGAATTCCGTGTCAGCCATGGGAGTATTCAGGGAAAAGGGCCACAAGTGTTGAGAACTATGAAGATGTCTCTTCCCCGCCTTTGCAAATTTGGTAATTGAAATAAAACTGACATTGTAATTTTTTTTAGACTCCTACATAGCCTTGAGTCAAAATGGTCATATTATGTAGTCTTATGAGGATGTTTATAATTTTAAAATAGATGCACAAATGTGACTTTATCAAAATGCATGTCAGAAACTTGCTTTAAAATGTCAAATATTTATT